AGAGTTCAGGTCCCAAAACCGGACCCAAAAAAATATAAAAATAGAAACAAAGAATTCAAAATATAGCCTATAAATTTAAAAAGTAAGGGAAGGGATGGGTAAGGGAGTGATGGACAAGAATGTTGAAAGGGGTGACATTGATCAAGATGTACTGTATTCATAAATTTCTTTGTTAAATGGCAACTACTTAAAGATGATTTTTAAAAAACCCTCAGATATCCCTTATGAAACATCTACTTCTCTACAATTTAAAAGGATGATGTTGATCAAGATATATTGTTTTGGAAGTGGCGCTATAGCTCAAGTGGTAGAGCGCTCGCCTTGAGCTGAAGAACTGAGGGAAATCACCCAAGCCCAGAGTTCAAGCTCCACGACCGACAAAAAAAAAAGATATATTATTTTAATAAACTGCTTTATTGAATAGAAACTCCTTTGTATAACTACTTAAATAACAATAAAATAAATAAATATCTACTTTATGTTCCTTTTTCATCTCAGAAAATTTCACCATCTTTTGACATCATTTATACTGGACAAGACCTCTCCCACTAAGCAGAGTTACCTACTCATCTTTTGCTTTACTGTGTAACTATTTTTTTTGTCGGTCGTGGGGCTTGAACTCTGGGCCTGAGCGCTGTCCCTCAGCTCTTTAGCTCAAGGCTAGTGCTCTACCACTTGAGCCACAGCACCACTTCCGGTTTTTTCTGCTTATGTGGTGCTGAGGAATCGAACCCAGGGCCTCATGCATGTGAGGCTAACACTCTACCACTGAGCCATCTTCCCATTCTTACTCTGTAACTTTTTATTTCTTCTAAAGCAATTGCCCTAGTTATAATACATCTATTTATGCACTCATATTTTCCATAAAACTTGTAAGTTCCAATAAGAGATGAACCACATACTAATGATCTTTTTATCTTTAGGACACAACGCACTGACTAAGCAGACATAAGTAAATGTTTTCCCTATACATATGAACCTGACTAGTGTCATTTCCATCTCCATATATGTCCTTAGAAAATAGTCTTTTCAGGTATTTGTCAGTATTAGTTCATACAACAAATGATAGCTTCTTAAAATTTAGTTGCAATATGAATACTGGAACCATATCAATGAACTATTCATACTGTCTACATTAAAACTGTCTATCTTAACTATCCTATACTTGGAATGTACCTTTTATATATGAGTGATTTTATAAAACTATGGGATGGAAATCTGAAAATATTGATTTCACAGTTATAGGCATGCAGAACTTTTGTGTCTCCAAAAATCTGAAATGAAACCTCAGCAAGGAGAGTTGGGTGGTATGGAAAGGCATAGAGGAGTAATTATTAAACAGCAGTCAGAGAGCAGGTAAAATGTAGACATACTGAACTTTAGACTTGTAAAAAAAATGATAAGAGTACTACTAGTCAAAATAGCAGAGAAGAGTGAGAATCGTCCTCTTCCCCACACCCATTAGACAAAGTCTGTGTTACTTCTGATCTATGCCATCATTCTGGTACTTAATATTTTCCCTTTTCCATTTTTCAACAATGTTTTCATGGCCTGTCTCCTAAATTCATTTATAGTTTTCTTTTGAAAAGCACCATGCTGCCTTGCTCAGGCTGACTTCAAATCCCTGTATACAAGTCATCCTCTTGCCTCAGCCTCCCAATTTGCTAGGACCATGAGCACACATGTCACAGCCTAGAGCATCAAGCTATAATTTTCTTGAGCAAAGTGACCATACTTTATACTTACATCCATATATAGCACTTAACCCTCAATATAGATCATTTATCTGCACAATTCTCTCTTTTTTTTTATTTTTTTTGGGTCCGGTCGTGGGGCCTGTACTCGGCCTGGGCGCTGTCCCTCAGCTCTTCAGCTCAAGGCTAGTGCTCTACCACTTGAGCCACAGCGCCACTTCCAGCTTTTTTCTTTTTGCTTATGTGGTGCTGAGGAATCGAACCCAGGGCCTCAGGCATGCAAGGCAAGCGCTCTACCACTGAGCCACCTTCCCAGACCATCTGCACAATTCTCATGGGATTTACTACTTTAAATCTTTAGTTCTTTAGCCCTTTATTTCACTAACTATAGTCTCCTTGATATTAAACTATATTCATCTTATGCTTTTATGGATTTTTCCCACATAGTAGCTGCCAACTCTGCTCATAGATGCTACTCATTGACTGTTAGTAATTTTAAAATAATAAAGCAACTGTCTAAACGGTTCAATAGTAAGTGCCCAGAGAATTATAAAACCTATATGTGCCTAGAGAATTACAAAACCTATATGATCTGTAAGAAATATCTCCAAGTTTCTTTGGGACAAAGAAACCCCACTAACAAGCACAATTGTTAAAATGGCCTTTAAAGGCATCTTCTGCCTAGCAGGTTTCAATAAAATTCGTAGACTCTACTAGTGAGAATGTATAAGAGAATTAGACTTCATTTCAGCTTTTAAAGGTGTCACCACCAATCAAACAATAATTATATAGTTCATTTCTGATCAGCCAGCTGAGGAAGATGTCATTTACATATCAACCTCTACAACACTGAAAAAAATGGTATAAGCTTATCTAGATTCACAGAACTGTAGCATTAAGAAGTGACTGAAAGGTCATACTAGTATCATTCTAAATGAGTGAAGAATTCCTTCTACAATGCATAATTCTTAGGATGTTTACACTTTTATTAACTGCCTTCAAGTGACAACAGACATCTTCTAGCAAAGATGTCGCATTGTAAGAATACTGTTATTAACAAAAGGTTACTCTCTACATTGAGCTGAAATTAATCTTGCAGTAAATTTTACCAGTTGGTCTTTATTCTATTCTGTCCATCTTGCTCTTTAATATGGAAGAGTCTAAAATATTCAAAGAGGGTTATAGTTCTTTTTTAAAAAAACAGACATCACTATATTCTCCAAATAACGTTTTTCACACTATTCCAATGATTTTATAGTGATTCCCAGAATTGATCACAATACTCAAAATGTGAATTAACTAGTATAAATTTCCTACCTAGATCTACAATTGTGTTAATTTTTGTTCTTATAGCTATATCACAAGACTGAATTAGCTTGAGATGAGCCTTGCTATGTTGCCAAGTATATTCTCAAATTCCTGGACTCAAGAGATCTTCTTGCCTCCAACTTCTGAACAGCTAGGACTACAGGTATGCACTACCACAACAGGCTATAGGTTTTTTTTTCACATGAATACTGTCAAGCCAAATGTACTTCTGTTGTACCCTAATATATAAGCTTTTATAGGCTGAGAGATATTAAGTGACAGACCAAAGGCATACCACAAGTGGGAAAAAGACTCATTATATAAAACAAAAACTTGTGTGATAGTGCACACCTGTGTTCCCAAGACAAAAGAAGCTGAGGTAGACAAATTGAGAGTCTGTAATTCTATTTCAAAATAGCAAAACAAAATAGAACTGGGAATGATGCCTTACACTTGTAATCCAAGCTACTCAGAAGGTGGAGATTGGGAGGTTTGTGGTTTGAGGCTAGCATGAGCAAAAAGATCAAAAGACCCCATCTCAACAATAAAAAGCTGGGTGAGGTAGTATGCACCTGTCATCCCAGCTATCTTAAAAATGTGTTCCATACTAGCCTGAGCAAAAATGTGAGAATTTATTAAAAAAATAAAGAAAGCAAAATAAAGCAAAAAAAAAGCTTTAAGAAGATATAGAGTATATGCCTAACAAGAGAAAAGCACTGAGTTCAAATCCCAGTATTGCCCCCAATAGAGAGCTAAGGTGCAATATCAACGTCTGCTGTCAGTATTTTACTAGTTGACATAAAGTAGCCCACAAAGGACAGTGACACTAAAAGATGAGTTAAAATTATAAAAAGGAGGCTCATTTGTACAATCTCATTTGTACTACCAGGAGCAGTAGACAAAGTCTTAGTTCTGGTTTTAGATATTCAAATAAATCATGTTATAGCTATGAATTTCAGTTTCATCATTTACAAAATAAGGGGATATCCCAACTATATGAATATATGAAAATCACTGAAACATTATAAATAGGTGAATTTTATTATAAAAGAATTATATAATTCAAGCCACATACCATAACCCTAGCTACAAAGTAGACTGAGAACTGAGAATTACAGTTCCAAGCTAGCCCAGGCAGGAAATTTTGTAAGACTCTTACCTTCAATTAATGACCAAAAAAGCCACAAATACAGCTGTGGCTCAAGTGATAGATCACTAGCCTTGGGCAAAAAAGCTCAGAGAAAGCACCCAAGCCCTGAGTTCAAGCCCCAGGACCAGCACAGAATAAAAAAGAATTATAGTTCAATAAAAGTATTCAAGAAATAAAAGGAGTTGGGGCTGGGAAGGTGGCTTAGCGGTAGAGTCTTTGCCTTGCTTGCATGAGGCCCTGGGTTTGATTCCTCATCACCACATAAACAGAAAAGGCCAGAAGTGGCACTGTGGTTCAAGTAGTAGAGCACTAGCCTTGAGCTGAAGAGCTGAGGAATAGACCCATAACTGACAAAAAACAAAAATAAACAAATAAAAATAAATGGTACATGTTACATGCAGTGGTTGAAAGTGATTGATGTTCAGTAATAGTCTTTCACCCTCACCCACACACAAAATAAATAATCATTTGTAATCTCCTGTGGATATAGATTTTTTAAAAAGTAAGCAGCCAAATATAATACCTTATTAAAAGGCAGTGATAGGGCTGGGAAGGTGGCTCAGTGGTAGAGTGCTTGCCTTGCATGCATGAGGACCTGGGTTTGATTCCTCAGTACCACATAAGCAGAAAAAGCTGGAAGTAGCACTGTGGCTCAAGTGGTAGAGTGCTAGCCTTGGCTGAAGAGCTGAAGGACAGTGCCCAAGCCCAGAGTTCAGGTCCCACAACCGACAAAAAAAAAAAAAGGCAATGATACCTGACTTTCTTCTAATAGGTTTTATCTCATCAGTTTTGCATTTACATATATACAAAATGTCCTACTGAAAAGCTGTAGTGTTTATGATACCTACTGATTCTGCTTGGTAAGTAAGTACTTTGAAAACTTCCTTCTCCACAACAACCTTCTGAATGAGCAAATGGGTTTCAGTGCAGCACTGGTCAACTAATATGGCATAAAATTGTTCCAGCCTCTGCAACAATAAAACAATACAATACAATGATGAGGATAACCACATGTTTTATTAGTAACTGTCATAGCTAAAATAAATAATAACTTACACTCATGGCAGAGTAAAAAAACCCATCAGCAATCAGAGCATTTCCAGCATCCATCCATCCTTTTCCAGCTTTTATATTCATCTAGAAGAAAGAAGTTAGAAAATAAATTTTAAAAATTCACAGTTCCCCCATCTGACTGGGTGATATTAGAGGAAAACAACCCTGTCCATGTGACTTAATAGTTACACACTCCACAGAATACAAAAAACAATCAATATTTATTAGAATTCTAAATCTAAAAAAAATTGTTAATCAAAGAAATATCCCTTATATATTAAGCATCCAAGTAGTTGATATATAATATGCACAATTGCTACAGAAGCGAATACGAAATCCACCTGAAAAAATGAGCACATGGGACAGCCACCTCTCTACTATAAATCCTTAAAAATGATAACATACATAAATAAGAGGAAACATATGAATTTTTACTCTTCTTCTATAAAACTCTTGGAAAATAAGGAGTATTTTCAACAGACATGAAATTATGAAGAATGTCTAAAATCAAGCAGCAAATGGGATGAGGCAAAAACTGACATCTCAATATAGATAAAAGTAGAAAATGCAGAAAAAGCTCTGGGTGTGAACAGTAGGAGCATCACACAGTTGGCCTCATTCCAAACGCTATCCACAGATTCAATGCAATCTCCAGGAACATACTGATGTCAGATGGGCACAATGAATCAATCAGATTGTCAGTCCTACATACTTGGATGGTGAAGATTAAGAGGCAGCCTGATCAAAAAGTTAGCAAGATTCTATCTCAACCAATAAAAACCTGGGTACAGTGGCATGCACCTGCCATCTCAGTTACATGGTTAGTGTCAATAGGAATATCATGCCCCAAGGCCAGTTTGGGTATAAAAATATACCTAAATCAAAAAGGGCTGGGATGTGATTCAAGTGGAAGAAGGCCTGCCTAGCAAGCACAAGATCTTGAGTTCCATCTTCAGTACTGCTATCCCCAAAATTCCAATGTCAATTTTCCAAGAAATAGAAAAGTAGAACATAATATTTATATGGAAGCCCAAATTACACTATGAGCCAAAGAAATTCTGAGCAAAAGCAGCAATGCTGAAGGCATCATACTACCTGTTCTTTATTATTATTATTATTGTGAAAATACCGTACGGAGGGGTTACAATTACATGGGCAAGATAATGAGTACATTTCTTATCAAGCATTGTTGCCTCCTCTTTGTTTCCCCTTACCATTCCTCCCTTCCCACCCCCCTCAGCCCCTCCCATCCTATCCTCCCCCCCCCCACCAAAGTTGTAAAGTTCGTTTTTCGACATAACAACTTGTACTACCTGTTCTTAAAAACTATACTACAGCCAGCCTGGTGCCAATAGCTCACCCCTGTAATCCTAGTTACTCAGGAGGCTGACATCTGAGGATCACATTTCAAAGGCAGCCTGAGCAGAAAAGATTGTGAGACTCTTATCTCCAATAAACTACTTAGAAAAAGCCAAAAGTGGCACTGAGGCTAAAGTGGTAGAGTGCTAGCCTTGAGCACAAATAGGCTCAGGGACAGTGCCCAGCCAGGCCCAGAGTTCAAGCCCCATGATCCACAACAACAAAAAAACACAACTATACTACAGCCAGTTGCTGGTAGCTCATGCTTATAATCCTAGCTACCCAGGAGACCGAGATCTGAAGGTCACAGTTCAAAGCCAGGCTAGGCAGGAAAGTCCATGAGACTCTTATCTCCAATTAACCACCAGAAAACTGGAAGTGGCACTGTGGCTCAAAGTTTTAGAGCACTAGCCTTGAGCTAAAGAACTCAGAGACAGTGCCCAGGCCCTTAGTTCAAGCTTCACAATCAACAAAAAAAGCTATATTACAAAGCCAGTTTTTAAAAATAATATAATGCTGGCACAAAAAATAGAAACACAACTCAAGAAACTAATCCCTCCCAACCCTAACAAACCAATTACTAAATGGACAAGGGAACTAAAGAGAGACTTCTCAGAAGAAGAGATAAAAATGGCAAAGAAACACATGAGGAAATGTTCACCATCCCTGGTTTCAAGGAAATGCAAATAAAGACAACCCTGAGATACCACCTTACCCCAGTCAGAATGGCCCACATCCACAAATCAGCCAACGACAAATGCTGGAGTGGATGCGGAGAAAGAGGAACCCTATTACACTGCTGGTGGGAATGTACACTTATACAGCCACTTTGGAAAGCAGTCTGGAGGGTCCTCAGAAAGCCAAATATTGACCTCCCTTATGACCCAGTCATACCACTTCTAGGCATCTACCATGAACAACAGGAACCAATATACAAGGACACATGCACCTCCATGTTTATTGCAGCACTGTTCACAATAGCCAGGATATGGAAACAACCCAGATGTCCCACCACAGATGAATGGACCAAAAATTGTGGTATCTATACACAATGGAATATTATGCAGCCATTAGAAATGACAAAATAATGGCATTTGCAGGGAAATGGATGGAGCTAGAAGGAATCATGTTGAGCGAGGTAAGCCAAGAACGAAGAGACAAACGGTACATGGTCTCCCTGATAAGTGGATGCTAAATCCAAAATGTTAGGTGATATGGCAAAATTAACAGGACTTAAGAAACAAAGGTCTTCCACTCATCTGGTCGAATCACTACTAAATAACCCCCATGCTGCTGATCATGTGTATGGAATATATGTGCACACCGGAGGGGAACCAGGAGGACAACACAGAAGTAGAAGGAATCAGGGAAAAACATACAACAGCAGGACCCATCAACTGCACTGGACATTGACCAAAATGAACTAAGCAACTCAATGGCAGCGATGGGAGGGAGGGAGGGAACAAGTGGGAAAGAGGGAACAGCTGATGTTATGCAAAACAAAAGAAATGTACATATCACCCGATGTGGAAGAAATAACTGTATTGCAAAGCTCATAGAACTCATAAATGTTATAGACCATGATAGACAATTTTCCCCATGAAAGTTAGAATGTGTTTGTGACTTTAACTAAGCTTCACTATCCCACAATACTGTGAAATTTGGGAAATTATGCAACCACTTAATCACAATAAAAATTGAAAAAAATAGAAACACAGACTGTGTATTGTATCTCTTTCATGAGACCCATAATCTGTGTGTCTATGGAATTGACGAGAACCTGCAGAAGTAAGCCCATGCAGTACAGCCATTAATTCTTTGACAAAGGTGCCCAAACATACATTAGAGAAAAGACAATGATTTAACAGAGTGTTGGCAAAACTGAGTATCCACATGTAGAAGACTTAATATAGACTCCTTTCACTCTGTACAAAAAAGAAAATCAATTCAAAATGGATCAAAGCATTTAATGTGAAACTTTGAAGCTACTGTAGGAAGCCATAGGAAAAAATTCAAGATCTAAGTATAAACAACTTTCTGAATAAAACTTCTACAAGCTCAGTAAAAATAAACAAGAATTGGCAAATACAATTGCAACAAATAAGAAGTTTCTATATATCAAGAAAACAATTATCCAAATGAAAAAAATCTACAGAATGGAAGAAAATCTTTCCTAGCTGTTCATCAAAGTACCAGTCAGACTATAAAGAGCTTTAAAAAAAGTAAACACTCAGAACAAACAATCCGATTAATAAATGGGCAAATGAATTGGATAGACAGTTCTCAAAATGGCCAATAAACACGTGAATATCAGTGTCCTTAGCCATAAAGAAAATGCAAATCAAAACTACACTGAAATTTTATTTCATCCCATTCAGAATGGCAATCATCAAAAAAAAATATGCTGGCAAGGATGTGAGGAAAAGAACACATATACACTTTTGGTGGTAATGTAAATTAGTGCAGGCACTATGCAAATAAGTACAGAGCTTTTTCAAAAAAGCCTAAAAATAAAACTATCATATGATCCTACTATACCACTCCTGGGAATATATCCAAAGGAACGTAAGTCTGCATACAGTAGAGATATATCTGTACCACCATGTTTGTAGCAGTACTATTCAAAATAGCCAAGCTATGTGCCCATCACCTACTGAATAGATAAATAAAATGTGGTATATATGCATAATGAAGTATTATTCAGCTATAAGGAACAACGAACTTATGTTGTTTACTTACTTATGTAAGTAAACTAAGCCAAAATGGCATGTTATCATCTCGTATACAGAATCTTGACCTTAGAGGGGATAAAAAAAATGATACAAATGTAAAATGGGGAAGGGCTTGCTTGGGGTGGCATTAAGTGGTAGGAAAGTGATGGGGGAGTGATTTATTTAAGTACTTCATATACATGTATGAAAATTGAATGACACTCATTAAAGCTTCTTATAAAAAGGGGAAGAGGATAAAAAATAATAGAGATAGCAACTTTAATCATATATTATAGACATGTATGGAAATCACAATATAATCTCGTAGTACAATATACATGTGTACATATAATATGTATAATATGTATGTAAAAACTTTCCAAACATGTCTATATATGGGTAACCAAATAAATGAGGAAAACCAATACTACCAAAGGGCATTATATGCAATGAACAATACCTGAGAAAATAGAATTAAGACAGCTAACAGATGGAAGAAAAATAAAATTATTTAAATAATAGTCACAGTCAACAATGTGGTTCTTGTTTTCATTCTTTGGAATCATCAAAACCAAAAGGGCAAACTGAAGTGACAGAAACTGAAAGACTTAAGGGGAAGGGTAGAATGATAAAGATAGCAGTATCCCCACAAAGTAGGTCATACATATAATATCCAAAACTGATGAAAAATAAATTTAAATACATTATCTAACATTTTAAAAAGTATCTATCTGGGCTGGGAAGGTGGCTCAGTGATAGAGTGTTTGCCTCACATGCATGAGGCCCTGGGTACCATTCCTCAGCACCACATAAACAGAAAAAGCCAGAAGTGGTGCTGTGGCTCAAGTGGTAGAGTGCTAGCCTCGAGCTGAAGAGCTGAGGGACAGTGCCCAGGTCCAGAGTTCAAGCACCGTGACTGACAAAAAATAAAATAAACTAAAAAAATTAAAAGATCTATCTGATAAATTTTATATAGTATGACAAAAAATCAGAAGAGATTGAGGGAGATATTGT